TGTGCGAGTACTTCTCTGCTCCTACAAGTGTTTTAATCAGCCAGGGCATGCATTCTATGGGATGGCCTTCACATAGATGTGCAGATGCAGCAACTGTTAAGAGCTTTGGGGTGCGAATTATGAAAAATATCCTGCCATCATCCTGTCCCGTTCTGATGGAATGACGACTATTTTTTATTATAAAATCATCCCGCATCTGCCATTTATAATTCAAACAGGGCCCTCTCTGTCACTATGAGACCATATCCCAACAGATCTCAGTCTGTACACCGGATAGAGCCAAAATGGGCATGAATGGGTGCCAACTGGGGGCATGGCCTTGACAGTGACTGTAGGAGTAGGGGTGGCGACAGTTTTAAAAGTCACATTGGCCACATTAACTCGGCCACAATGTGACAAAAATTCTGGAAGGGGTCATAATTGCATTTAATTAAAGAGCTCCATACCCATACAGGCACATGGGAACACAACCAACACACGCACAGGTATTGTGACTCGCTATCACCATTTATCTTGATCATCAGTATTGCAGTATTAGGTACACACTGTCCTTTGTGGACCAATCCTAAGCAAATGCATGTACACGCAAATAGGTGTACATGTGAGACAAATTGTTACCCAATCAGTTGGCTATGTCTGTGGATGGGCATTGCACTATGCTGCATGGCCTGTGCCCATCCATCAACTCTGGTTAGTATTCAGAGTAGAGTGCTCAATACACTGACCCACTTGTCAACAGAAATGGACACCATAGAAGATCATCGACTGACAAAAGAACAATTTTCCACAGCAAAATCCATCACGTACATGAACAGTGTTCCTGATTTCCAAATTCCTTCCTTTGCTCATCATCATCAGGCAAAAAAAACCCTTGGGGCTTAGTGGTTCACACAAGACGCTGCCAGGCGATCCTATTCCCTGCACTTACCACCAAACTTAGTGCAGGCCAAGGCCATGGTGGTGAAGATCAGCCTCAATTGTGCGTGTCCACATCAGCCATGTCCTGCCCTGGGTTCTGGTGTGGATCAGCAGAGGACGTTCGCCCAGGCATCACGTCCGAAGAACCGAAGTTTTCTGGCTCTGACCATGTCAGACACTGATGGAGCGCCCTGTGCAAAGGCGGACCTCGCCACTGGTGATAAGCTCGCTGATGTAAATGCGGAGTGGCCGTCGCAGGCACCACTGGTTGCAGGCATCCAGCTTCTATCTCAATGACGCTGTCGTTGACGGAAAGGATATTCACATTATAGAGGCCGATCTTTGTTGCTGTTGTAATGCTGGAGCGCCAGATTTGTCTGTCAAGCTGTTTCTTACACTCGCGTGTAATTGAGATTCGCCTTTTAATTTCTGCCTTGCTGCTTCCAGAACGTTGCAAATTACTACCGAGATACGTGTACGATTTTACTACTTCAAAGTTGTTGCCCACTCTTTGCACTTCAGTTAATTGTAGTAGCTGCTCATCAGTGGTCTATAGTTTTGGTAATCAAACATTCAAGCGTCATGAAAAGTAAGCCTATAGTTTATAAAGAATAGGAGGATTTTTTTAAATTAATGAACACAGTCTACCATTATTTAGTACTGGTCCGTAAAATTGTAAAAAATATTATGTACATATTGATATGATTTATTGTTTTGTATGTTACACCGTATTTCCTGTGCAAACATTCTTTTTTATATTGCCCTCTTACTCTAAAATGAAATCGCTGAAATTAAGGTATGTTGTAAATAATATATATTTCTGCAATTATATTTATTAGGGAACATTTTTTAAAAGTATTCTATTACCATACACCTTACGCACAAAAAACAATTGGACCTCATAACCAGCTTTTCACACCTGAAAATGGTATATATTAGTGATACTGTGTTTTGTTATAAAATGAAAACATATTTTGGTTGGCTTTTTTTGTTACGTTATTGCTATTGCGTTCAATAAAAATGGTAATCTGATGTAACAAAATGAAGAGATTAAACTCTTAAGTACAACTTAGTTTTACACTGCACCATCATGACATAGATAGATGATGCACATTGATTACAAAATTGAGAGTACAGTATATGCAAATTTACAAATTTGTGATTGGGGACAGCAACACCACCATTCTGAGATAAATGCATAAACGATGTTAGGAAAAGATTTTTGGAAATCTTAAAATCGGTAACAAATTCCCACCAACCTCACCCCCACCACCTTGATGTCTTAAGGTGCCATGCAGAGAGACAATGTTTCAAGGTTCCATGCAGAGCGACAATGTGTCAAGGTTTCGTGCAGAGCAACAATAATAGAAAAGGTACCGATTGGCAACAGAAGAGGTTTTCACGACCTTATTAACATGTGCCTGGAAGGAAATAGACTGGTCAAATAGCACCATGAGATTTCTGATCTCGTGTTGAGCAGGCATTCTGGCTATTACTCTCCAGGCAGAGTAATATGTCTGAAATAACCATTTTAAAGGTTCATATATATTTTTTTTATGGCTTCCAATTGATATAGTCAATTATAACACTTCACTTACTTGATTTTAGAACCTATTTCGTATGGTATTTCTAGTACTGCCTCTTAGCTGGTTCAGCTGCTATCTCTCTAAAAGAAAGCAATTTGTCTCAAGCCGTCTAGACGTTAAAAAGTCAAAAAGTAAGGCTCCATTTCTATTCTTGGTCCCTGCACCATGTGGACCAATACACGTCTCATAGGCAGTCCTGTTGGTACCAATTTCCGCATTGAAGTCTCTGAGGACAACAAAGCCATCTTGAGGGGGCCACATGTCCACTACTGAATGGAGCATAGCATAGGTGTTCCCGTCATGTCAGTAGGAACAAGAGGCACCCTAAAGAGTGCCTCAACCTTATTATTTTACACTCACTGACCGCAGTAACCCCTGCCACCATCATGACTAATCTGGCTCTCCACAGGGCAATGCACCTCGGACAGGGCAGCCACTTTGGCCTGCACAGTTCGCTTGATAGGAGGGGTCAGTATGATCACCTAGCTAGTGTTAGGACGATCCAGGAGCCGAACCTTTCGAATCGTCGAAGGTGGAACAGCTGGGTCGGGGCAGAACTCACCGCCGCCCTGGCTGCTGATCCTGCAGATCTTTGTCGAGGCATCAGTAGAGGGTCCTTTCACGAGGCTCAGTTGCAACCTGCACCGCGGATGATGTTTTTTGTCTGTGTTTAAGACAACATGAAAACACACCACAGGTGGGCTATGAGAAGGCAGATTGAAAAAGTAGAATATCGACAAGTCAGAATGAAATGAGATTAAAAAAAATAATCTGTACGAGTCGTGACAAGTTGTTATCGCTATTGTTGTGATCGTTATGGTTGCTGTTAAGTTGGCAAAGTGAAGAGCACAGGTGGTGCATCTGCCAGTCATCTCAGTCAACCCATGGCACCTGGGTCTGTTGAGTGACCTCCTGCCAGCGGACCTTCGACAATTCACATGGCCTCAAAGCGTCCCTTGCATAGCACAAAAGTGCCGTGGTGCCATCACCGCCACTTAGTGCCGGATGGCAATTGTTGTTTCTGTTAATATTGTGGTAGTTGGTTGTTATTATTGTGGTAGTTAGTATTGTGGTTGTTATAGTGGTAGTTGTTATTGTGGAACTTGCTATGATTATTGTGGTGGCTGTTATTGAGGGGTGGCTGTTTTGGTAGTTATTGTGGTGGGTGTTGTTGTGGCTGGTGCTTTGATGTTATTGGGGGCTGTCCATAAACGACGTCACGCGATTTTGGCCGATTTTTGACCCTCCCCCCTCGTCACACGGCGTCACAAAAAGTCAGACCCCCCTCAAATATGACGTCACAAAGCTCTGCCCCCCCCCCCAACCATATTTCCATTTAGAAAATGAAACATGCTTCAAATCACTTTAAACTATCGTCATTGTAGTGCGTATTTAATGTGGCGCTGCACTCTGATGTTGAAGGAGAAAACATTTATTTAAAAGTCGATTTAATTAAATAGAACGCGTTATCTATATTTATTTAAAGTTGCGAATTTTGATGTGACGTCACATTTCTCACCCCCCCCTCGTCACACATCGTCACAAATGTCTGACCCCCCCCCCCCGAGGTGCGTGACGTCATTTATGGACGGCCCCTTGTGGTTTGTGTTGTGGTCGTTATTTTTGTGGTAGTGGTAGTTGTAGTGGTGCTGATTGTGGTAGTTGTTGTGGTAGTTGTTATTGTGGTGGTAGTTGTTGTGGTAGTTGTTATTGTGGTGGTTGTTGTTGTGGTGGTTGTTGTTATTGCGATAAGTTTTTGTCGTGGTTGTTATTGTGGTGGTTGTTGTGGTGGTTGTAGTTGTTATTGTATGTTGTTGTGGTTGTTGCGGTGCTGGTTGTGGTAGTTGTTGTTGTGGGAGTTGTTATTGCGGTGGTTGGTGTGGTGGTGGTTGTAGTTGTTATTGTATGTTGTTGTGTTAGTTGTGATAGTTGTGGTGGTAGTTGTTGTGGTGCTGGTTGTGGTAGTTGTTGTGGGAGTTGTGGTGCTGGTTGTGTTAGTTGTGGTTGTAGTTGTTGTGGTAGTTGTTGTGGTATTTGTTGTGGTGCTGATTGTGGTAGTTGTTGTGGGAGTTGTTATTGTGGTGGTTATTATTGTGATAGGTTGTTGTTGTGGTTGGTCGTGGTAGATTGTTGTGGTTGCTATTGTGGTGGTTGTGGTAGTAGTTGTGGTGCTGGTTGTGGGAGTCGTTATTGTGGTGGTGGTTGTTGTTGTTGTGGGAGCTGTTGTGGTGGTGCTCGTTGTTGTTGCTATTGTGGTTGTGGTAGTTGTTGTGATAGTTGTTATTGTGGTGGTTGTTGTTATTGTGGTGGTTGTTGTTATTGTGGTGGTTGTTGTTATTGTGGCGGTTGTGATAGTTGTGGTGGTAGTTGTTGTGGTTGTTGTGGCAGCTGTGGTGGTAGTGCTCGTCGTCGTTGTTGTTGTTCGTCATGGCGAGGGAACGCGGAAGCGCCTCTGGGTCTGGAGGTGCAGCAGCAGCAGCAGGAGGAGGAGGGGGGGTCCCTCCGCCCGACACGGGCTCCACTCCACTCCCCTCCCTCCTCACGCTGCTGCCGCCCTCCGTCTCCGCGGGCGACCACCTCCGTGTGCCCTTCCACCGTCTCCCACCACTCCCCACCCACTCGGTCGCTCGCTCGCTCGGTCGGTCGGCCACCCTCGGCTCAGTCACAGCCCCCAGGGCTCCTCGCAACAGCAGCAGCAGCCATCATGAGATCCCAGCAGGTAACAAACTCTCACCCACACCGCGCCTCGTGTGTGCTGTGTGGTGTGTGTGTTTGTGCTGTGTGCGTGTGCTGTGCGTGTGTGTGTGCTGTGTGTGTGTGTGCTGTGTGTTTGCTGTGTGTGTGTGCTGTGTGCGCTGTGTGCGTGTGTGCTGTGTGTTTGCTGTGTGTGCGCTGTGTGCGTGTGTGCTGTGTGCGTGTGCTGTGTGTGTGTGTGCTGTGTGTGTTTGTGCTGTGTGTGTTTGTGCTGTGTGCGTGTGTGCTGTGTGTGTGTGCTGTGTGTGTGTGTGCTGTGTGTGTTTGTGCTGTGTGTGTTTGTGCTGTGTGCGTGTGTGCTGTGTGCGTGTGCTGTGTGTGTGTGTGCTGTGTGTGTGTGTGCTGTGTGTGTTTGTGCTGTGTGCGTGTGTGCTGTGTGCGTGCCGACTGATGGGAGATGCGGCCGAGAGGCACTAGCCTGTACCTCACCTGTACCTCACCTGTACCTCACCTGTACCTCACCTGTACCTCACCTGTACCTCACCTGTACCTCACTACTTAACCTGTGCCTCATCTGTGCCTCATCTGTACCTCACTGTACCTCAATGTACCCCACCTGTACCTTTACCTCATACAATGTATTGACCGTACAGTATAGTAAACCAACACGACACGAACTCTCTCCTCAAGCCCCCTCGTCGTGTTCATCAGATCTGGACATTTAGATCCTGAGCATATTGCCATCATACGCAAGAATAGAATATATACCTATATACCTCACCGCGCCTCACCTGTACCTCAACATACGTCACGTTTACCTCACAGTACCTCACCAGGGCCTCATCGCTTCACCGTGTCCCACCTGAACCTCATCTGTACTTTATCTGTGCCTCACCATGCCCCACCTGTACCTCACCTGTACCTCCGGTTGCCACCAAACCCTTACATATTTCTCAGTCGACCTGGGTCTATTTAGACTGTGCAGCATTACTGTAATAGTATTCAACACAATAGTGGTACCAGATCTCGGTACGAACACAAAACAATTCCCAGTCTGTCCAGGTCAGAGCCGGACATGGGGCCACCCTACCTGCACTTCTGTACTGCACAGTAGATCACTGTGTGTGTGCAGCTTATTAACAATATCGATTAATAGTAGAAAATCTGCAAAGTTGTGGGCCTGTGGGCGGTTGTTAATCAATAAGTTCAGTGTTAATCCTTGGGCAGGGGAGATGCACAAAATATGGATGGGTGAAGTAAACAACATCGTGTGGTGAGGAATGCGACGTTACGGCACCATGGAGGACGCAAGTTTCAGTGTCATAAATTGCTCTTCAGTGTTGTAAAACACCACCTTTCATTGCTTCATTGGCCACCAGGTGTTGGGAGTATCTCATCCGGCAGTGGATTTACAAAGGACTGGATAATAGAAGGGTGGAGATCTGGTGATTTACTGCCACGGCTAACATCATTGGCGAGTAATGGCTGAACCATACCTTGGCCCCCTATACACCAAAGAGCACTTCGCGTGATGGATGGATAATTATGACTACATAACCCGCTTCAAATGTATTTCGTTTGACCAGGGTAGTCTTCGTTTGCAAGAGTGACCTGGGGTATTAGTTTACCAGTGGGGTACACTGATTGCTGCAGTGGAAAAATCCCAATGGAGTAATCTTCGGGTAATTGTCGATTTAAATTTCTAATTTGGACCCTGATGCCGGAACACAAATGGCATACTCTTACGAATGGCGTTGGGTGATCTCTAACGTCCACTGTGAAGCAGACTGAATGTATCGTTAAGTTATTACATCGGCAGTAATAATCAGGTTGGCTGTTGAATCCAAACCATAAACCTGTGCAACAAGTGGCCAATACGCTAACGCCAATTCCAGGGGTCAGCAATCTCCATCTCCGGAGCTGCGTACCGCACTTTAAGGACTGCTTCGTGATGTTATTGATCAAGGACCATCGTCTGGTATTCACGTCCATTGCGGCTCTTCAAATATTGATTTTTGGAAAAAAATGACTTGTCATTTTGGTTTGCCAACCCCTGTGTGGTGGAGATCTTCATCCAGTAGTAGATTTACAAGAATACTATAGTTTATCTTCCATTTTTTTTACACAATTTCTGTCCCAACATGCAGAATTGATAGTGCCTACTGGTTGTGGTGCACAGATATTTTTTTTCCTTGAAACTCATGAATAAGCTCCTGTGCTTTCCAATGTCCATGTCCAGCATCCAGGCTGTGCCATGTCGCAACTACACACACCAGCTATTTGAGATGATTGCGCTCGCCATTTTCTGACTGGTTTCCAAAGCTGTCCTTCTTTTCAATTGTCGTTTTTGTTACGTATTTAATTTTAAGAAAAAAGTTAACATTCGTTAATTGTACACGACCAATATGATTCATAATGAGTTTATTGTGGGTGGTTAGATCGTGTAGGTGTAAAGTAAAATGTTGAACTTATTATTCGCCACCACCAGATAAAGCCAATCAACTCAATTTGTTACGTGGGTAAAAATGCCAATTGATTTGGGTTTTTAGCCAAGCTGAAAGTTTGTACAAAAATGTACATTTTTGTTTGCGTTTCAACGTTTCGGTTTTCCAAAAAAAAAATTAATTGGCATATTTTCCCACGAGTGAGCTTGATTTGATTGGCTTTTGCATGCTGGAGGATTGGAGTTAAAACGTGACATACCTACACCATCTAAGCCAAAATAAGCTATTTATGAATCATGTGGACATTTTTATTTTAGTTAATATACCTTCACCCTTATATTCTAGAAACTGGTAATGAATGCTAAACAGTAGTAATTGCTGCAGGTTTAGCAAACTGTATCGAAGCATGAGAATGGTATCTGAATGTAGAGAATTCCTTTTATACATATCCATGTTTAAGCAATAACACAATGATCAACCACGTTGACATCCGCATCATTATCGTCATCAACATTAACACCAGCATCATCAACATTTAGGTCAGCAGCAACATAGTAAATGTACACAGCAATGACGACAACATCAGTGTTGACCAATATCATGTCTTCATCGCTATATTCATCATCATAAAAATCAACATCTGCATTGACAAACTCAACATGAATATAATCAGAATCAACATTACCATCGTAAGCAACATTAAATCAACAAACTAACAAGAGTTTCATCGGCATCAATATTATCATGAACACCAATGTGATGAACAACAATAATTTCTGGTAACTTTTAATCCACTGTTAATCCGCGTTTGCCATGGTGGTTATTCGACCATACGTAACCACCATACTTCATTACGGCGAAGTATCTAATTAATTACCTGTGCAAAATTGTCCGTGTTTGATGAACTTGAATTGAGAAGGTTGAACATAACGCACGATTGCAGCTGCACTTTGTTTTGCAGCTCCACCCCCACTGCATGTAAACTTTATTTTCAGTCATGCTTGAAAAACAGAGAAAGGGTCAATAAGACTACGGTGATCCAGTGCAAGGCAACATGGCTGTAAAAAACATTCAGTTTATACAACAATTTTAATAAAACATTGCCAATAATATATTTTTGGAGATTGGTTATTTTTTTTGCAATGTTCTGAGAGCTGATACGTTTGAAGCTGTGGTTTTTACCACAACTGCTAATTTAAAAGTATTTACTCTTATTTAAAATAGGCTAATGCTTGTGCCAGTGTTTCCAGATCAAAATTTGTACCCCAGGATGAGGAGAATGTATTCAGGAATGTTAAGTAATATGATGTTTACAGAAGCATGTTTTTAATGGGTAAAGTTTTTATATGGATATATTTATTTAATGCAATATGCACCTGCAAGTAATTTGTTTACTTCTCCGTTGAATGGGAAAGTCATTATATTCTTAAGTCTTTGTGTAGGGATTTTTTTGTTAGTTTGGGGATTTTTGTAGTAAATAGAAGGGCAATAAAACAACTTCTGTGCAGTATTATAGTAGCATTGCTAGGCGAGAGGGCTCTAAAAACTAAACGTGGTAGTCAAACATTGGCGACTTATCCCACCATTTTTTTAAAGGAAATAAACTCCCTGGAGGTGGATAATTCATTTTAATGTTTTGAGCACCAAAGGGACTTTAAGAGGTGCAGCTGTCTTCTTTTTCCTCTTCTTTTTGTGTCCGTCCACCAAAGTAAAATATATCTCCGTGGCGAGCTCATTTCAGTGCTTGCTGGTTGCTTGCTGCAAGATCTTCCTAGAGCAGTGGGCAGACCAAGAGGTGTTTCATGGTCTGCCTCTCGCCACTGGAGCAGCTCTTTGTTTTTACACGCTTTTATTTAACGCACTTTGTCTGTTGTCGTATCCTCAAAAAATATTGTAACTTAATTTTTACCCACTTCCCAATGTGCTATCGACTGCAAACTTGGTATACTTACGTCATACCGATGACAAGACTATATTCTATCATAAAAAAAAAAATCAAAAAAATATATTTTAAAACATTCTTTTACACGCTTTTGATAAACTCACTCTGTTGTCGTATCCTCAAAAAATCTTGTAACTCAATTTTAACCCACTTCCCAATGTTGTATCGACTGTAAACTTGGTATACTTATGTCATACTGGTGGCAATACTATATTCTATCATTAAAATATATATAAACAATCTTTTTTATATGTTATGTTTCGGCTTGGGTCTAATTGTCCACGCTCAACTGACGTTGGCTGTAAATCACCACGTCCCCTTACGTTGTGGCAAGCTTCGGGGCCACTTCCTGGAGTCGTGGAGTTCTTCCATTACTCGTACGATACATTTCATTAAAGCGTGTTTAAAAAAAGTATTTTAAATATTATTCTTTGACTACTGCCATTTGGCCATGTTGGTCCACCCTGCGATTGCTCCTTTGTTCACTCGCCTTCATGCCCATGTTCTCAAAGCTCATTCTTATGTGGATGTCAACGTGGTTGATCATTGTGTTATTGCTTAAACATGGATATGTATAAAAGGAATTCTCTATATTCAGATACCATTCTCATGCTTCGATACAGTTTGCTATTGACCAGG